TGGATAGAGGGTACAGTGCCTTTTTAGGCGCTGACCAGTATCTAAATCCTAGTCATATGCCTTTAGACTCTCTTCTGTTTGTTTCTTTTAGTAGACTGTTTCCTACCTCCCCAATCTTCAGTTCGTGGTATACACGATCTGCCCTGAGTCCTCCCAGCTCTTACTCATTTAAAACTCAAAAAACATGTTTCCTCGTTCAAAAAACGTGCCCTTATAATAAAAAGCCTACTGTTTTAGTTATAATTTTTAAATTCCACTCAGAAACTTAGTGTCTTCTTTGTTCTTGGCTATGTCCATCCTCATCCCTGGAGCAATGAATTCTATTGATTCAGTGGTGAAGGGGGAGGACTAATGGTAGGGAGGAGAATCAAAAGCCTGTGAAGAGGAACATATGTTTCTCCAAACTGTATTCCACCACATTCATCAGGAAGTGTGTTTATTAGTAATTATATGACAAATGGCAATTGGGCTGAAACGAGCCCCCTAGTGGGCATTTGGAAATGTGCAGGACATTTTTAGTTGTCACAGTGACTAAGGATTTACTGGTATTTGGTAGATGGAGGATAGAGATGGTATATATCCTGCAATGTGCAGGGCAGTTCCAAACAAAAAGCCAATAATAGGTCCCTACTGAAATATGCCGAAGACATTCTTCCCTGTTGGGGCATCTCTGACCACATGCATGTTACTATACAGTACGGTTCCAGGACCCTCCTCTTGGGATCAGGCCCTCCTTGATCCCTTTGCAGAGCCTGACTCTTTTCCTCCGACAGTTCCATGGAACTAGCTGACTCCATATGCAGTCTTTGCCCCTCTCCAGCCTGAGCTGTTTGAGAGGTAGAGGCAAGGTGCTCTACTGGGATGTATATTTAAGTGTTCTACCCTTTAACATTAGGTTCTTCTTCCAAAGAGCCCCTGGAGTGGCTTAAGGATTTACTCCAAGCTTGCCTGGCTAGTCTCCTATAGGAGAAATACACACAAGTTCTTCTCTAGCTTCCCATTATCATTTCTATCATTGCTGTACAAGAGGGGGTGTGAAAGATCCTATATTTTAGTCTGGTCCCTAATTGTGACTTTGAGCCAGCCATTTAGCAACCCAAGCAGCTTAGTTTCCGCATTTGTAAAAATGAAGGAATTGGCCTAGAAGACCTCTAAAGACATTTCAACTGTGTGCTTTTATGGAAAAAAAAAAAAAAATCGTTTGTTCTGTGATTCTGGCACATTTTACATTTCTTCTTTCAGAAAAGTTCTTTAGGCTTTTTGCTCAAAATTTAGAAGTCACTGGAATCTTTAGCAAAAGAAATGGTAATAATAAAACTAAATTTTTATACCACTTTGTGGCATGTATTGGTTAATTATCAAGCTATACATAGTAAAAACCATATATTTTAAGTTATTATTGTTTTCCACAAAGGATTAATCTTTCATCAGTCATTGCTTTATTAACACATTTAGAAAATATTTATTAACCATTTACTGTGTGCTAGGCACTCTTCTAAACAAAACAGTATTGAAAATATAATAGTGAATAAAACAAATTCACTGCTTTCACAGGGTTCGCATTCTAGATCATAAATTCATAAATTCTCAAAGTGTGGTCCCTGAAAAATATCTCAGAAGGCCCAAGAGGTCGAAAACATTCTTTTAATAATACAAAGGCATTATTTGAGGTTTTTCAGTGTGTTCACATTTGCACTGAAAAGCAAAAAACTCTTAAGCTCAATACTCCTTTATACAATCATCAATATAATATCTGTGACAGTCACTATTAAGAATAACCAGTGATAATTAGTGAAATATTTTGTGACTTGTGCAAATATTGAATGAATGTTTCATATAATCGTTCATTAAAAGGGTTGTAAGGAGAATTTGTTACAATAGTAATAGCATATAATAATACTTATAAAATAGTAATTCTTGATGGTCCTTATGGATGGTTTTCTGTTGACAGCATTTAATCCGGTTGGATTTTACTATTCTCAAATAATCCAAATATTTATAAGTTGATTTCTTTTGTTCGTCCTTTTATTAAAAATATTATTATGGGGTATATTATTTTTCTATACTTCATGATATTATTTTCAGGAGAGAAATGATGTATTATCAAAGCTTTACCCTATCATTTTAGTTATCTTTACCAGAGGGACAATTGTATAGCTCAACTTGTATAATTATATTGTTTTAATATTTTTTCTTAGTTAGTATTTGAATACCATACTTACACTTGAAGATAATTTAATTATTTACACATTTAAACACCCAATAAAAATTTCAAATTCATATTATATATACATATTATGTGCCATAAAGAAAGACAAAGATTTGCTGTCAAATGATTCTCCTTATTACATTTCCATTTGCTAAAGAATGATCTGGACTTTCTACTCCCTTCTGCCAATGTCGTTAAATGTATGGTTTGCTACTGAAAATCTTGGATTAAGAAAGAAGCTTTTGAAACTGAAATTAAACATAATTGATTGCTTTGTCTTTTCCATCTCATTTTCCTTTATCAAAGAACTTGATAATGTGTCTCACAAAGTTATATTCTAGTCCCCTGTTATTTATCCCTATTCCTTGGGGTGGCACTAAGTGGTCTCCATATTTTTTTTACATTCTAGGATGATCACTCTCTAAATCACTGAAGTATACAACTAAAGCAACCCAGAGACAGGAAAAAAAACACTAAAGTAATGTCAAATAATAATCACCTTTGTGCCAGGTGCTTTATGTATAGTATTGTTAATCCCACAAGAACATACAAGGTAGGATTTGTTATATTCATTTTTCAGATGAGGTAACTAAGGTTCAAATTCTACCTGAGGTCAGGTTGTTAATAAGCAGTAGACCTGGAATCAAAACCAGGACTCTATACCTCATTATTATTGATCATAAATTCAGAACTAATAAATGTAGAACAGAACTTGAAATCAAGTCTTCTGATATAGTGTTACTTACATTACATCACATATATCATGGATAACTTGTTACTACAAGTAATAATAATCATCACAATCTCAACAGAGTAAAAAAGTAACTTATAGAATGGAAGAAATATTTACATACCTCTGATAAGGGATTAACATCCAGACTATATAGAGAACTCCTAGAACTAATCAACAAAAGAACTACCTGATTCAAAAATCAGCAAAGGACTTGAATAGACATTTCCCCAAAGAAGAAACACAAATGTCAAATAAGCACATGAAAAGGAGCTCCACAACATAAATCATTAAGAAAATGCAAATCAAAATTACATTGAGATACCACCTCTCACCCAGGAGCTACTACTGAAAGAAAAACAATATAAAACAACAAGTGTTGGTGAGGATATAGAGAAACTAGTACCCTTGTTTACTGTTGGTGGGAAAGTAAAACAGTGCAGCCACTGTGGAAAACAGTATGGTGGTTCTTCAAAATATTAAAAGTAGAAATGCCATATGATCCAGCAATTCCACTTCTGGGTATATATCCAAAAGACTGAAAGCAGAGTCTCAATGAGATATGTGTACATCCATGTTCATAGCAGCATTATGTACAACTGCCAAAACTTATACTCACACAAAAACCTACACGTGGATGTTGATGTCCATTGACATCAAACACAGCCACTTATCTCATAATTTTTCTCTTCAAATCTAGTTGTGTCTTTTGTTGTTTTATGGTTTTGGGGTTTGTTTGTTTGTTTGTTTTTGCCTGTACCGCCTATCCTGGATAATGGTACCATCATGCACCTAGCCGTTCATGTTAAAAGTTTTGGTATCGACTTCACTTTATCTCCTTTCCCTATGTCCTTGCTATTCCTATTACATAATTGTTTCAAGTCCTATAGATTCTATCCTCCACACATCTTCCAAATTTTCCTTTTTCTCTGGTCCTCCAGCCACCGCCTTCAGCTCACTGTATCAGACATTTAGTGACTTCTTTTATTCTAGTCACTATTCTGAATGCTGGAGATAAAGAATGAATAAGGCATACTTCCTGAGACCCAGGAACTCACTTTCCAGGTAAGAAGTCAAATTGATCATTTCATTCATACAACAGGGTAAATGGTAAGACAGAATTATGGATAGGGGACTATGAGAAATGAGAGAAAGAATGCTTTGCCTAGACTAGCAATTCAGAGAAGCTTTTCTGGAAGTGGAGAATCTTAAACTGAATAAAAATTATATAGAGTGAGCAGAGCAAACTAAGATGGAAAACATTATAGAAAGAAAGAATTGTCATAGCAAAGGTGTATATGAGGTGGTGAAATAAGAAATGCTGAAGACTGAGGACAGAGGGTAAGTGGAAGCCAAAGCATGTGGCCTGGACTCCATTGGGATCTTAGACTTAATATTATAGGACAGTAGTTTTACACTGGGCTCAACGAAAGCCCCCAGAGTTCCCTGAGTGGGGGCCACCTGTGCTTCATGGCTTTGGTTCTGACACCTACTTCAACAGAATCAGCTCAGCTAACTTACATCACGTCATTTGCATAATACTTCCCTTACCTAAAGATGTTGGGTGCTTATAAAATCACACAAATAAAGAGGTAGAGAAGGTATCTTTGTCTTGGAAAGTGTAAGTACTAAACAGTTTAAGCTAACTCTGCTGTGAGGACAAATCACAATATCGTCCCTTCCGTCATTATTTCTGCATGTCTTTTTATGATCTGGTTCATATCCAATCGGCACTATGCATAAAAACTAGGTCACAGGAATCTACTGTGATCACTTGCTTTCCATCAAGTTAAAAAAACCTTCCGAGAGCTTGTTATAACAACTAAGATCTATCCTTTAAAATATATTTCACCAAAAAAAACCACAATATTTGCTCTCTTTCCTTAACTCAATTGTGGGAGAAAAACAAAGTAAGCACTTATTGTTTAACTCTCAAGGCAAGTGTCAGTTTATGTGGGAGGTGTCAGTTTATTAGATGTCAGCAGGCAGGAAAAGGAGGACTTCTTGTTTCCTACCTCCTCAGTTATAGGTCTGAAGATCCAATAATTGTAAAAGACTTACCTAACTGACAGAAGATAACAGCTCCTTTTGGGTGGAATCCTGGCTCCACTGAGAACTACTAGGGCTCCCTTCAGAGGAGGCTGGAATAACAATAAAAAGTAACCCTTTTTGAAGGCTTAATATGTTCCAGGCTTTGTAAGTGCATTAACTCACTTAATCCTTACAACAAAACTAAGAGATAGATGCTGTGCAATCCTCATTTTATGGATGAGGATATTCAGGTATAGAAGCTAAATAACTTAACTTGTTCAAGATATCTAGGTGGTAAATGCCATGGCTAAGCTTCAAACCCAGACAGTCTGGCTCCAGTATTTGATCTCACAATCACTGAGCTATAATGTCTCCTTAAGCAGGTCTTAAGCAGAGTCCTTTAGTGCAAAGGGTAAATGAGGCCAATTCCAGCAAGCCTAGTCTGTGATCATGTCTTAGTCTTTTTAAAGTCAATTCGTCTCATTTTTACCATTCAAAAAGAAAGCTTGTACCTTGATGGTCCAGTTCTTCCAAGGTTGCTATAAAAGATGAGGCTGTGACCTTATCAATTCATTTATTTCTAAATGTCAATTCTAATTGGCACAACTATTTTATTTTGCCAGAGAGGACACTATAAGTAAATATTCATGGGGCTTTTAGTCACTAATAAACCCAAAATGATCTTTAATTCATTTACTCAAATAATACATTCTAAACCAAACAGCCTCAGTATATAAACCTACACATTTAACATGACTCTTGCTTCTTCTTTTCTAAGGAAAGACTATTACATCTTTAATTAAGATTTCGGAAATTCTCCATACGAATAATTAATAAAAAATTATAATATACAACTATAAATGTTGGGGAGCCACTGAATAGGAAATTTGCATTTTAGATCATTCTAGCTATAGCATGAAAGATGAAAGATGAATTTGAGAGGTGTATGATGGAAAGTTGGATGATAAAAGGCCATTATAACAGACAAAGTGACAGATTAAAAGAACATGAACACAGGTAGTGATAGCAAGCATTGAGAGGGCAGATTAAAAAAATTTAGAAAGTAAAAGTAGTAAAACTTGGTAATTGTGATGATTATTCACTATTTGCACTACAGATCCATTTTTTACCTTCCTTTGTACTGCTCTGTGTCCTAGAGGGTGGCTGACTTTATGGACTGTACCATCCATGCAATCTTTAATATTCGCATGGGGTTCTGCTAATAGGAAGCAACAGTAGTATGAGACTGGAGGGCAGGGTGAAAAAAAGGTCAGGGAATTCTCTCCTTGATTTATGGCCATGCATTCATTTAGGTAGCCCCTCTTCCATAGCTACAACTCTTTCTGTGTTCAGGCAATACAGTCCTCTCCTTTTGCCTCTGAAAGACAAGGGATGGTAGTAGCTGCCAGCTGTTGCTAGTCTCTGGGCACCTCACAAACTTCACTGAATCCCTTAACTGCCTTTACCTCTGTAAATAGTCTCTTGGTTAAATTCTCTTGAAGAACTTTGAGTCTTTTTCCTACAGGGAGCCTGGCTAGTAGTGATTGAGGGGAGTTGAGGTGACTCCCAGGTTTAGATTCTTTGCTCCCTAATGGGCTCTAGCATTTTCCAGAATGCTTTATTAGGACATGCCCTGTTAAGACTGCTTGGAATTCATCTTCAGCATCAACAGTTTGGTTGGCATTTCCCATAGGAGATTGAGGCAGGTTCTCCAGAACCAAGTATGGTATAGAGTAGAAATAAATGGATTTTCTCCTACAGTGTCTCTGTACTCTGTTGTCATATTATTACAGGCCCTTGTACACTCAGATTCTGAACTCAGCATTGGTCTGGCCATTATTAGGGTTTGATATTTAACTTTGAGTTCTAGATTTTGAAATGTACATGACACAATTAGAAAAGGGTGATTGCAAAACAACAAAAAATCCTAATTGTAGTAAAATAAAAAAATATTCAAGAAACTGTGAACTGTGAATATCTACCAGTGATAATGCATTAATGCAAATTTCAATGCCCAAGCAGTTGGACCATAGCTATAGTATTCTGTTGATCCAATGATAAGATTTTCTTTCAAACAAGTAATTCAATATAATGTATATTCTATTCTTCATTATATAATAATCACTGCAACTCAAAATAATTTGAGATAATCTTAAAAATTCTTATTAAGCAATAAACAAATTATATTTTGACTCCCTACATTGCCTTTATGCCTCATACTATATACCGTAAATTCTTCAAATATCCTAACAACCCCTACAGAAGCCTGTCCCATACCCCTAACTCCTAGCATGCACATTTCTCCCTCAGGGAAATACTTATGTCCAGACCTTCCTCCTCCCAACCCCCACAAGGCCAATTATATCAGCATCTCTGGATATAAGGCTTAGGCATTGATATTGTTTAAAAACTCCCCAAATGATCCTAAAATACAGAGTTGAGAACAAGATAAAACAAACAGGATCACACAAAAAGAAGAATCTCCACAGAAGGTATAAATACAAGATACCTTATGTCCAGCAAGCTGTTTATTTCTTGCTAATTAACTTCCTATGAGTTTCTTTCCCCCTTGTTAACTTTCAACTTTTGCATATTGGAAAGTTGACTGAGAGTCCTTCAGTGGATTTTGCTCCCTTGTTTGGCATGTGTGGTTTGTTGACAAGCTGCCCAGAACACGGTGAAAGACAACCATGATTAAACCTGCCTCGAGTCAGCAGTGGTTTTTTACGTCAGTGAGGTTTTCCACCAACCCAGATCCCTGAAGAGAAAGTTGGGAAGTCTCCCCTTGCTTTCTGGGGAGAGATTCCAGCCAATTACTTTAGACATTTATAGGATATGCATGAGTTGTATATACTTCTGATCAAATGCTTAAAGGTTTAGTGACCTAGTTTTTATTTTAATAATCCAGATAAGTTTTGAGTGACTCTAGATAATAATAGCAATGCATAACATTTATATGAATAACTTATATATAAAATACTTTTATATTTATTATTTAGTGGATATACTAATCTTATGTACAAAGTAGGAAAGATAGCTTTGTTAGGTCTTTTTATAAATGGCTCTTATGGGTCAGAAAAGGCCAAGCCTGAATGAGAACATATATTTTTTTTTAAGTCCAGTGGCCTCTTCATATTCTACTACATTCTACTGGAACTAGATAGGCCTTAGCTTTTCAGTGGTGTTAGGGAAATACCATACAGTTAAATCTTAAATTGGTTAGTACAGAAAGTATCAACTGAGGATTGGAGAGACATAAAGACCTTTAATGGTTAGTAATGTCTTTATGCAAAACCTAGGAGTGAAGGATGTATTTTCCATTAAAATTTTAAAAATCTGAGTTCTTACTTTGAGCCAGAATCTGCTAGGTGCAAAGTTTAATAAGATAGTAAAGAACTGAGTCTTTCTTCGAGGAACTTTCTGACTAGGGGAGCAGGTTACAATCTAGTGACCTGGACTCTAAGGAACTGACTAGGATTTACACAGGTAAGTGTTCAGAGGAAAGGTGGTTCAGATAATCAAACCGAAGGAGAGGGCAAAAAGGCATGCAAATGATGACTTTTGAGAACTGAAGGAGTCCCCAAAGTTTGTTAGTTTGATACACAATATGCTCTATTTTTTTGTTGCTTGTTAAGTAAAATTTCACCGTTAACGTGTTTGAAACCGGGAACAAAAATGACATTTTAACTGTGATTCCTACACCCTCCCCACCATCCACTTCCCCTACCCCGCCCACTGCGCCCCTCCAGAGTATAGAATCTGTCCCCTAGGGGTCACACTTGAATGTAAAAAACCTTTTCTATGTAATAATATAACCACAATCGAGAAACAAACTCAGAAACAAACCCTAAGCTCGTTTTAAAACAACTGAAGACAGTAAGGGAACTTAGGTCTGAGCCATGCCTATGCCACTGACTGTGTGAGCTTGGGCAAGTTAACTGCTCAAGACATCTCCTTTTGTCTTTAAGAGGATAATGCAAAGGCCCACCTTACAGGGTTTTGTGAGGATGATTTAAAATAATGCCAGTGAAAGCACTCCCTCCACCATATCTAAGGCGCTTTTGTCATCTCTGGGTTCTTTCCAGTCTTGCCATTTTTAGATTTGGTGCATCACGATCCAAAGGCCTTAAGCATCACCACAAATGCCAGGCTGTCTTTCCTCATACCAAGCCACGTCCCTGACGGGCGGGTGCAGCTTCTCTCTGACTGGGTCTGCAGAGTAAGGACTTGTAGCCGAAGTCACACGGGCCTGAAGGCCAAGGAACAGGGATGAAGAGCTCTGGTTTCAGCCAGGGTGGGGGGAAAAAAAGGAGACCAAGGCGAGGGGAAGAGGATTTTAGGGACGGTGTCCTATGCGCACGCGCAGGGGCCTCTCCGCACCTCCCCCTCCTACGCAGTGTAGCGTCGGGCGCAGTGACGTTTGCGTAGCGCGCCGTCGATCGGTGCCTGTGGCTGCGCGGTTGTGCGTCGCGGTTGGTAGAGTCCTCCGGTCAGGGACGGGGTGGGGCTTCCTCTATTCGAGGTGGTCTCGTTCCCCCGCGGCAGTGAACCCTCGTGTCTGCGGGTTCTCGCGCTCTAGTCGGTCACATGGACGTGTAGCCATCGAGACAGTTTTCTAGTTCCGTTTACTAAAGCATCTTCTCTTTGGCTGTATAAGGCGCAGGTGACGCTGTTATGCCGAACTCGAGGACCAGGGCCCGCCGGGGCGCCGGGAGTGGCGCCGGAGCAGCCGGCCGGGACGAGCTGGTGTCGCGGTCCTTACAGAGCGCAGAGCACTGCATGCGCGCCCAGGACTTCGGCACGGCCTATGCTCACTACCTCCTCGTGCTCAGCCTGGCGCCGGAGCTGAAAGACGATGTGAAGGTGAGGAGGGCCCCTCTTTCTTTGACTTGCTGGCAGATCGTCTGCTCTCGTAAAAATAAGTAAATTGGGAGAAGAGAGCAGGTGGTTGCTATTAATATTTACTGATAAGCCTTGCCTCCTTTCTTTTGTTCACACCCATCAGAAAATCCTGTCTGCCCCACCTTCAAAATATATCCAGAATCTTATCACTTGTCACCACCTTTGTCTTTAACTACCCTGGTTCAAGCCTCAGTCATCTGCTGACTGTTGCTTAGGCTTGCGACTAAGCTTTCTCCTGCAGCCTATCACAACAGAGCCAGTGTGAGCTCTTCATAACAAAAATTAAGATGACATAATTTCTCTATGGCAAAACTTCCTTCACACTCAAATTCGAAAGGCTATACTGTAAATGAGGCCTCAGGTGATAGTCTCCCAAATACTGTATTGAATTCTAGCTGTCCTTGCCACAGGGCCTTTGCTGTTGTCCCTGTTTTAGGTAGAAGAAATGTTGTGGGTTTATGTAATTGAATAAAATTCGACATTAGCCCAATCATTTGATGATGCTTCAAATTATTGGATTATTTGTGACAATTATTCTATTTAAATGAATTCGAAAAATGATTTAATTTTGCATTCAGTTTTAAGCTTCAAGCTATGTTACTTTATTTCACTCACGGTTTCTCAACCTCAGTACTATTAACATTTTGGATGGGATAATTCTTTGTGGTGGAGGGCTGTCTGGTGCACTATAGCATGTTTAGCAACATCCCCGACCTCTATCCAACAGATATCAGTAGCGTCTAAACGTTTGTAGTTCACATAAATTTAGTGTAAATTTCAGGACCAGCCGTCTTAAAGGCAGAAAAGGTGATATGATAGATACAGTAGGTAACAGTAGAGTAATGGATCAATCTGAGTGCTACTTCCTCTATTCTTTGTTCCTCAAAATTTCCTCTCGTAAAACAGGGACAGTATCTTTCTTATAGCTATTTATCGTGTATTAAAAGTGTATCTATACGAGCAACTAATTATCTATTCTATTTCAATAAAGCTGGGGGGGGAAGTATATCTAAAATTTGTATTTCAATGCGTGATGTTCAGTTGGGTTCAGTAACTA